CTCTCTTCCCCAAGAACCAGGGCTAAAACAAATTAAACTCTGCTATGGAGACCCAAAAACGAAGCCAAAAAAGGGTCAAGATCTTGTATAACCTAAGTGAGTTTAGGAAGCTCGAAATTCGTCTAGAAAGCCCAGCCAACCCTAGACGCCCCAAAATCTTGAAGTTTCAGACTTGAACCCAAAAATCTAAACTCTTGAACCCCAAACCCTAAACAAGCCCTGAATCGTAAACCCTGAACCCTAAAACCCTAAACTCCTACATCCTACGCCCCTAAACCCCAAACCCTAAATCCCTGAGCCCTTGTACCTGCCAGATACGCAGGCCCGGCATTCGATGTGCGTGGTATCCTCCCCAAACGCTAGGTAACATTTGTTCAACGCTTTGGGTTGGGTTTAGGGTTTGATTGCTGTGGTGTGTTCAGTTGAGAGTTGGAGGGCGTACATCCGGAAACCGCCAGATAAGGTAATGAAAGGGGTTAGGGTTTAGTAATGGAAGGGTCTGGGTTGTAAGACGCAGGTAGGCCGCCTCGGGTTAGATCGGTCCTAAAAGCAGATCACATCCGCTTAATGGTATCTGGGGCGATACAGAACTTTGCCCATCAACTGAGGATACCACCTGCATGGGGCCCTAACTACGCCGTATTACTCCCAACGGTTTGGGTTTAGGGTTTGCGGTTCAGTGCTTTCACTCTTGGGGGTATCTATCTTTCAACACCAAATGCTCTAGCCGAAGTTCGGGGTATCTGACAACAAGGATAGGTAGGTCTAACGCCTTTTGCAAGACCGACAACATGATACCTGCAGCTTACTCGCCTCAATCCCTGGCGATAGATATGACAGCCCCCTCACCCCTAAACGGTACATCGTGTAACCAAGGGGGGGGTGGGGGGGCACAAGGGAGCCATGGTTGAATGATCGTGTCAAGGCAGCCTCCCTTCGACAATCCAGCCTCGAGTTTAGGGTTTGGGGTTTAGGGTGGGGTGCTCTTCTGCTCAATTGCTGTTAGGGGGTTTCTACGGGTCCAAGTACCCAAACCAAGAGGCTTTGGGTTACGAAACGCCCTAGAATTTTGGTACTGGGACCCTCATGGCCTTACAGTAGGGGTTTAGATTAATTTACGACAGAATTTCAGCCACAGTACACAATCGGATTTTTTAATTACCTCATTACAGAATTAATTGAAGCTCATAAAAACCAACCCAGGTTTTCTTCACGTTCTACACAGAAGGATGAGATGATAAGGGTAGCAAACGTTGGGTTTATCGCTTGTATTCGGTCTCCGGCTTGCTTGTACCCTAAACCCTAAACCCTAAACCCCTGAACCTAAACCCTAAACCCCCAAACCCCTGAAGATGGGAGTTTGCAGGATGAGTTGAAGGAAGCCATCCGAGCTGTGGTCCACACTCCTAAAAAGGGGGATATACAGGGGACTATAGAGAGGAGCATTATAGCGGCTATTAAGGGAGATACCAGGAGTTAAGACCCTAGACCCTAAACATCCCTACCTAGACCCCCCAAGTACCCTAAAATAGGGTCTATGTAGCTTCTATTTGGGGATACTTAGGGTCTATAGAGGGTACTTGGGGGGTCTAGGTAAACCCTATAGTATAGGGTTATTCAGGGGGGTACTGGGAGTATAAGCAATTAGCTCATATTGGCTCAGGGCTTTGAAGCTCTGAAGGTGTAAGACCCAGCCCTCAACCGCCCTCAGAAGGTCCAAGGACCCGTAGGTACCCAAAAACTCGGTCCCTTTAGAGGGACATACAGGGTTTAGGGTTGAGGTCCAAGGTCCAAGTACCCAATATTTAGGTACTTGGGTTTGGGTAATAGTAATTATAGTACAGGTTTTGGATCATATTGGCCCTAAACCCTAGACCCTAAACCCTTAAACCCTATATTGGGTACTTGGACCCCTAGGGTGACTCTACGCGCTGTACGTAATCATCGACAGCCCTCATATAGGAGCTAATCGAGAAAAACAATGTAATTCTCAAGAAGAATCCTGCAATCCTTGACCCGATTCTGGATATCCCGTTTCTGGATATGCCCGAGGATGGCCCCACGAATGTGAACGCAACTTCTTTAAACTTGAGGCCGAAGGACTATGTAGCGCTCGGAGCCAGCGGCCAGTGATACAGGAGCAGTTGTTTGGTAGTTCACTGAGTACCCCAACAATCTATCATCCATTAATTAAGGGATATGCCTCAAATCATATTACGGACCCCAGTACCATTTAGAGTATATTCCCTAGTTAATAAATGTTGGACTAGCTGGGTAATGACGCATCGACAGGACAGTGATGTATCAGGCTGTTCTGCTCACGAGGATTCCAAGAAAATCGGGTACGTGCTCCCCTCTGTAATCCACGTTATTTGTTCGCAAGAAATACTTGAAGACTAACCTTAAGGGTCCAAGGACCCAAATAACAGGGTTTCAGGGCCCAAATACTATATGCTTAATGGTATTTGGGCCCTAAAACCCTATTCTTTGGTTCCTTGGACCCTTAGGGTAAGCCTATCTAACCCCAAAACCTGCAAGCTTCTTCCAGCTTCTTGATTCATCCCCCACAAATCCTGCCTGGCTAAAAACCAGAGGCTTATGTTGCGCTTTTAGAGTAAGGGTTGTGTTGAGAAAACATGGTGAACCGATTTTTTCGGATGAGCTACTCATACAAGAACTCACCCTCCTTTCATGTAGAAAGCAATCCTTCAGACTATCCCCCAAAAATTCGGAATGCCAGATTCCCTGGAAGCTACTCAACCCGAAGGGTGCATATGGAAGTTTCCAAAACTAAGGCAGGATTTTTCTCGTCCCCCTAGTAAGGATTACAATATGTTGGGGTCGACGTCTGTTGTGATCGCCCTGTTTATGGAAACTACCATATAACCCCATTGGGGTCCAAGCATCTACCATGTACCTAAATGGGCCCGGAGGGTCCTACGCCCTACATGGACCCCTAGGGCAAGCTTAAAACAAAAACCCTAACCCTAAACCCTGCACTGCCTGTCGGGCGTCCACAAAACTTTCCAGATTCGTGTCGTAGAGCCTTGACTGGCTGATTTTGGGCCTTCCGGTTCAGAGTTTGGGGCTATGCTTTCAGAGTTTACGGTTGAGGTTAAAAGTTCCAGGCCTTTGGTTTCTGGCCATGTTGACAATTTCATATATAAAAGTAATGATGACATGTCTCTGCATATAACATATATGAGTATATATATATATAGAGAGAGACAACTACTCATACACTATTCCGATACCTAGCCTGCAAGTACTACAACAGAAGTCTCAAGTATATCGTTTTAGGCCAGGTAGTTCCTAAACCCTAAGGGTCCAAGTGCCCAATAATCATATACTTACCCAAAACCTGTACTAGAATTACTATTACCTAAATCCCAAGTACCTAAACATTGGGCACTTGGACCCTTAGGGAAACCCAACAGCAACCCTAAACCCTAAACCTCTAAACCCTAAACCCCTAAACCCTAAACTGCTAAACCTCTACACCTCTAAACCGTAAACCCAGGTAGTTCCTAAAGTCCAACAAACGGTTTAGGGTTGAGGGCGAGATGCCTACATTGTTAGCTGCCTTAGGGTTTAGGTTTAGGGTTTAGGGTTCAGGGTTTAGGGGTTTAGGGTTTAGGGTTAAGGGTTTAGGATTTAGGGTTTAGGGTCCCAATACCCACTAACCACCCTGGACACTAAATCGTAAAACCAAAACAACCTTCTAACACCCAAGTACTAAGTTACTAAGTTTGGGGGCCTTGGACTGCACCGCAGGAGCAGTTGGACAGGTTTATCATCTGTCCCCCTACTATCTCCTCCCATACTAACCCCCCAGGCTTCCCATTAATTTGCCTTAACTAGCCATAATTGCTCCTAAAAAGGCTTGATTTTAAAAGAACTTAACAGTTTAGTAGGGGAGCCCATGATTTTAGCCTGTATGTAGATTACCCTCTGTACCTCTCAATGAGACTTTTGCCCATACGACGATACCCTTTTGCCTTTACCCTTTTTCAATACATCTGAATTTACCCTAAACCCTAAACCCTAGATGGGCGCGAGGGTAGCATTTGATAGCTTTAGAGGCGCGCTTTAGCGCGCATGTGGATCAGCTGCCTTCTACGGAGCTGCTGGGTTAGGAAAGCCAACACCCTAAGGGTCCAAGTACCCAATATTTAGGTACTTGGGATTTAGGTAATAGTAATTCTAGTATAGGTTTTTGGGTAAGTATATGACTACTTGGTACTTGGACCCTCTAAAAATCGTAATTAAGGACGTAGCGAAGCCCAGGCAGCGCCAGTCGAAGCTTCGCATTAAAGCTCTAAAGCTGCTGAGCGTTTAGGGAGACGTTTGATTCAGGAAGAAGTTGCCATAATTCAGGCAATGAACCTTTGCGGTACGACTTGAAGAAATTGTGTTTGCCCTAGGGTTGGGAAACTTCTTGCGCTTCAAAGCCCTGAAGTTGCCTTGTGCTCTTCCTAAACCCTAAGGCCCTAAGGGTCGAAGTACGTAAGTTCTAGGGCCTTACGCATGCCAAAAACCACTCAGATGTTAGTTGCTGGGACCTGAAACACCAGTTACGCGGACCCTGAAGGGCATGCAGTCTCGGCACAGAAGAAGCCATAACAAAAAAGGTTGGCGGGATCATTTCCCAGTCCACGCCCCCGCCACGCCTATGTCGCCCCCTCTCAGCTATGCTTGGGGTGGCTGTTTGAGGGGATTGGGACTTTCTGGGATTATCTTTGCTGTAGGCTTCGTCCAGAAACATGTGCGAGCAATTCACATTGGGTATGTCAATATCCTCTTTGGGGCCATAATATAATACATGTTTGCGATGACAATTCTCCACAAGGCCCCAGAATCCTAAACTGCCTGTTGAGACGATGAGCAGAACCTGGGCAATGAGCTGAGACTTTTGAGCGGCAAGGGTGAGCAATTGGTCCTGAACGTCTCTCCCACTGTGCAGTCGGCGACAAGGTAGGAGTTGCCACCGCTTGACATATCTAGACAAAATTCCGGCCACGTCTTGCCAAGCTCGCTCTGCGCGCAAATGGCCCGAGCCTCCGGCGCCTCTTATGCTGCAGCAGCTGCACGATCTTCGATGACTTCGGAAGTCCACCAGTGTGGGCACAAAGCAAGGCTCTGATGATCTCCACGGCGTCATTCGCAGCCCCTGCCTCCACCAACAAGTGCGCAACCTCCTCATTTCCTTCCTCGCATGCGCGGCAGAGAGCATTGCCTTGGAAACCCCAATGCCGTAGGACGCCTCTTTGATGAACGTCTGCACCACCAGCTAAAAGCCTACATGCAGCACGTATCTGACCGTATGCTGCAGCAATCATCAACTGTGAGGTGGCATCATGTGTTCTACAAAGGTTTATGTCCGCGGCAGCTTCCAACAAAAGATCTATACAATCCACATGGCCATACGAAGCTGCAGCAAGAAGCGCAGTGGCCAGCTCAAAACCAAGGGAACGGCTATTTGGGTCTCGAGGGCGTTGCAGGAGGTTCTCAAGCAGTTTGCCTACTGGCTTTGATGAGATCGACCACTTGAAAACTCATCTTAGTTTTCACAAATGGAAGAATGAGCAGATCCACCTCCTCACCTCTACTTTGCTATCATCCGTCATCCTTTGGCCATTGCGTAGAATCGCTTGCTGGAACGGCGGGGGGGGGGGGGCCCAATGATGTTCGTGTAATGTTCGCTTCAGCGTCCTCACATCCTTGACTGCT